ATCAAGCAAACATATTCCATTACAAAATACAAAACGACCACAACAAGATGCACATTGCAATGATGAAATGAGAGAGTGAGTATGAGATTGATTGACCAATCAGAATCAAGTATTCCAGAGACCTGTGTAATAATAACAAACTCTCATTAGTTACCATTACCAGTATCTTCCTTAACAATGATATACTGTAATGTTGATGCAATAATTGCCATCAAAAAATTATTTAAAAAAATCAACTGACTCCATATAAAACCTCACACATTACTGCCTTTATGTAATATACAAATGACAGAAGGCTGTTTTTTTAAATCATCCGCAACAGTTAAACCGCCATTTATATTTTAATTGCTGGAGACCAATCAAGTTATGCTAATTATTGACATCAGAACATCCGTCTGTTGTGTTCAAAGTATTTTAGAAAAACAAAGACAGCTTTCATAAGTTCTAAAACAATTCAGTGATTGAAAATAAGTAGCCCTTTGCCCTCTGCAAATGGATTCTGAAAGCAATTATGTCCGCTTTTATTCCCATTTGCCTTGTCCAGGCCTAGGGTCAGAAAAAAGTTCAGAGAAGCAATCAGAGGTATGTGTTTATATAGTGTGCATCACGTTTAAAATGGACGTATCGCTATCAAATATTTGGTATATTGATGCTGACTAATCAATTGTTCATTATTGAAAATACTCACACCATCCCTTCCCCAGGGATGGTAACACACGACACTATAATAATGTAAGGAACATTAACAACATAAAAACACCTATAATGCACATACAGTAATCACTAACATAAGCAAACATTATCATTTAAAAATATATATCATCAGATGTGAGGCAACATACAGAGACTTCTCGAATCACCCTTTACTGCATTTCAAGCGAAATTATAAGGTGATGTGTATTTACTTTTTTAAATTAAAAATAAAAAAGTGGACTTTACAGTAGAAGTACATGACTTTTACTCAAGTAAACATTATTTAGCATCACTGAATCAACCTAAATATATTCATTTATACCAGCAAAACAATTTTTTATAGGTTAAATCAGGTAGAAATAGGTCTTTAAGATAACATTTACAGGTTACCACTTTTACAGTGTAGGTACATTTTTCTCCCAAAATCCATAATTTTTTAAAAAGTGTATTGCTGTACAATTATTCATATTGTCCATTAAATATAATGTTTTTTGTTTAAATGTACTAACTGTACAGTTAACTGGTTTTATATTACAGCAATTTTTCTGTTAAAATTATGAACATTTTTGGCAGTCTTTTACTCCTGTGACTTTAAAGACTTCAGTAAAACTGAAGTTGTTTCCAGTAGAAGGGATTTGACACTTGATGCCATCTCTTCCCCAGTCTTTTACACCTGTGACTTTAAAGACTTTCTTCACTATTAAACGTAACTCAAGTTGTTTCCAGAAGAAGGGATTTGACACTCTCCTTTATGTTTTGGATAGCATTGATCTCTGCACGGCAGACGTAGGTAGAGACGTTTGATGAGACGTGTCCTTTGAAGAATGGAACACTTAAGACTGTGTTATCTGCTGTAATCTCCCTGTGCTATAATGACTCTGCCTTCCAGCTAAAGCAAACACAGGCACATGGTCACCTTCCTGCTGCACAGTTAGTACAGGTGGATATACCATATGTTTAGAAGTAGAGTGGGCTCCAAAAGTCTGAGACCTCGCTGAAAAGCTGTGATTTTTTTCATTAAACCTTTAAATGGAAAACAGAACAGAGCGTTTTAGGACTTCGGAACATTCTAAACAAAGAAACGTTATGACGTAAAATGGAATATTTAAGGTTCAGCTCTATTTCTAGATGTCTAATCGAATAATTCAATTTGTGACTATGATAATGTGATTCTTTGTACAGACAGTCAGATGTTCTTGCTTCCATAAAAGCACAAGATGGTCTTTGGGTGATCTGAAATCATGCTGAAGAATATGATCATCAGGTTTAAGTTCATGCAGCTCGACTGCTGCTCTCACTAATGCAATAAGAGGGACAAACCAAGGACCTCATTTATAAAACATACACACAGATTTGATATTAGAATGCGTGTACATTAAAATCAAGGTTCAATATTTATAAAAGCGGTCTTCAATGTGGAAAAATGCTTAGTGCCATGTCAGGGTCTAAGCAGATATATACACTTTCCTTATGGCAGAGAGTTGAAGTTCTGCAAGTATCTGGGAATCAAAGCTGTTAAAAGATTTGGAAGTTAGATGGCGTTTACAAGGTTGCGATCTGAAACCACTCAGTTGCACACAATTTGAAGAACATTTTGAGTTTATAAATTTCACATCTGAAAGAAAGGCATACATACATTTTTTTTTGTGCATAAGTTCGTTCTCTGACTCACATGTACGCACATTCGAGAAATGATCGTAAGATCAAATGTAGGATGGTTTCAAATTTCATTTTAGTTCAACTATCTCTCAGTTAATTTCTGATGATATAATTTGAAATGAAGAAAAAACTAGTTGTTTCAGACTTTTGGGCATCAGTGTTCCTCTCTCGATCTCTATGTATGTTTTTAAAAATGCTTTTAAAAATGGTCAGAGTGGTGGTGGGTTCAAAACAAAGAGCTTGAGATTCGAAACTGCCGTCAACCTGTAAATGATTTCCTGCTTTCTGAGGGAGGAGTGACACAGATCTAATAACACAGATGGAATGTAAACCTCTTTGAAATCTCTCATCTCTAAAGTGTGCATGCACATTTTCACCTACAGTATAACCCTTCAAGCTCTAATCTGTTTCATTTTTTGCCAATGATTAATTATGGATTGACACATTACAATACAATTTACCCATTTGTTATTCGTTATTTGTTATCTGCCAACAATGTCTTTACTAGTAGACACAATGTGTATTTAAAAAAATTATATGGCACAAAGCTGTACAATTGCAATCACTTTGAGCAGCTAGTAAATTTACATAATTATTTCTACTCATCTCAGTGACAGGAGAAACATGCATTTAACATCAGTTTTAACTAGAGGTTTGTGTTGTAGTCTGTGCATCAAATGGGATTTTTTGTTCTTGATTTGTTCTCAGTGAAGTTGTAGTAGCGGTTTGGGGCTTGGCAGGGTCAACTGATTTTCCCATCAGTCGGACTGTGGTGTCCTCTCACCGGCACTGCTCAGAGCAACACTGCCTCTCTGTGGAGGAGCCCTGCTCCTTATTACCCATCAACCCCAAATGACTCCAAATGAGCAGAGAGAACAGGCTCAAAGTGCATTAGTGGCTTCTGCTCAGAACAAGAGCAGAATTCAGGTGACGGCTTGTAGAATCTGAACCGCATCAAAAGAAAAGCTGTGAAGAAATGCTTAAAGAAATATATTTAGTACTGGACATCACAGACTGACGACTGACGATTCATATAATTACTGTAGCAAAATCTCCCCGAGGACCAATAGAATGATCTGGTTGTTGCTCATGCTCCAGATAAACAAACAAATTAAAATCACTGCCCCAATTAATATCAAAGGTATGGTATGTTGTACAGGTGCATCTCAATAAATTAGAATGTCGTGGAAAAGAAAACTCAAATTGTGAAACTCGTGTATTAAATAAATTCAATGCACACAGACTGAAGTAGTTTAAGTCTTTGGTTCTTTTAATTGTGATGATTTTGGCTCACATTTAACAA